GCTGTAAGAAATCGACCTGTGATGGACAATTATTGCTGGCTTCTTCCAAAAATCCAGTGTTCTTCTTAATTTGAATTTATTTAATAATTTGTAATCATCATTTAGAGAAAGACTGAAATCTTCTCTAAAACCTTTTAATCAAATTGCATTTTTAAAAACCTCTTCTTTGTGAGTTTAAAAGTTTGCTGTGTCTCACCGTGTGCATGAGGCTTCACAAGCCATAAACTGCCGCTACAGTTAACTACCTGTAGGTTGTGCTGTTGATTTATGTTCAAGAAGAAGTCATTTCTTCCCCAACATAATGGTGTAATTAGAAACTTTGTCATGCGTGTGAAGCAGAGGTACATTATCCCGCCGTTACCTCTTTTCTTTCCAGGACTGCAAATGGAAAATGTACATGGAGCTTGATGGAGATGAGGTTGCCGTAACCTACATCAAAGATGTCATCTTTAACGCCAACAGACCGGGTGTGGAAGTTCTGCGGATGACTAAGGTGTTGGCAGAAAATCGTTTGTTTTTTTCCTTTTCTCCCTTGTTTTTAGAATTGCTAAATATTTTTACCTGAACGATGTCAGTCAAGTTCCTCAGTCTTCTAGGTCACAGCGATCCTCCGGGTTTACACAAAAGGGAGCTGGGCTCGTAACTATGAAATGACTTCTGCATGAGTTGATAAATTTTTTTTTTTTTTTTTTTTATAGAAAACAGCGTTTTGCATGTAATGGGAAAACTTAGATTTGTTCCACAGATTTGCTGTGTCGCACATGGCTTGTGGCAAACTCCTAATTGGACTTCTTATGACTTTGACAAGTTTACAATACATCAACCTGAGCGGAAAACCTCTGATGCTACTCCAGAGTTACCATAGGTTTTGCTTCTTCAGTTAATTCTCTTTTTGCCAGGCTTGTTAGATTAGGTGGACTGACATTTCTTGGTAGATTGCCAAAGTGTCGTCCTGTTTTCATTTACATGTGGTGGATTGAACGGTGCTCCATAAAATGCTGAAGCTTGGGATATTGTTTTATGATGTAGTCCTGCTTTAAACCTCTTCACAAGATTGAAATTCCTCAATTTAAGAAAAACACGCCGAGGGGCATGAAGACTTTTGCAAAGCATTGTAAATTAGCCTGCACGATGAATGTACTGTCCCTGCAGTTATCAAATGTTTAACTTTTTGTATGTTATTCTTGCAGCCACCATTCCTGATGGATAAATGGATCGTTGGATTGGAGCAGAACCAGAAAATAGACTACACCGTCAATTACGAGGCGAGTCATTCCATCACAGCAAATTTATGAACCTAGAATCCTGTGTGACGGTTAAAATCTTTATTTAAATATCTATTTCCGTTGTGCTCTTTTCGCTCTTGACATATTAGAACGACGTGAAGTCACCAAAGTCGACCAGACACAGCTGCATGTTGGTGTGGACCCACAGCGGTGGACAAGATGAGATCAAAAACGTGGAGCTGGTCATCGAAACGACTCCAGTTATGGCGGACCCCAGAGATAGAACAAACTGTAGTAAGTTGCTTCTCTTAAAAGGCATCTTTAAAGTAATACTCTTGTTTTGAGTAATCAAGATATTCAAAGTGCATTGCATATTGTTTATTTAAGATTTTGATCCTGCGTGGATGAACAACGTGCGGCACAAACACATGATGACGCAGAAGTCAAACCACAAGACGACTCATCTGAACAGGTCTGAGGCCCAAACTCTGCCTCAGTTCCTCTCTGTGCATGAAAGCCAAGCATTTTCCTACGCCGCCGCCTTGCGCCGCTCTCCAAACCACCTGCGCTCCTCTCCCTGGACCGACTCTCGCTGCTCATCGCCGACCGGCAGCCTGTCTGCCAAACTGTCACCGCTAACCCTCGGGTCTAAGGGCAGCAGTCCGTCCAGCACTACGTCAGAAAGCACGTTAGAGCGTGAGCGCCCGCGCAGCGCCGGAGGGATGAACGACCAACGGAGGAACAGCTACTTCGGCAAGGCATTAGCAGAGGGAGGTGGGCAGGGGAGGGGGCATTGGTGGACAAACAACAGAGGAAGCAACAAGGGCGGAAAAGGCTCACGGCAGCCGGGGAGGCCGCGATCAAACAGTTACAGCGTCACACCTCAGAGCCGCCCGCCGCTGATACCGGGTATATGGTCTGTGACAGGAAGCCCCAGTGAGGAAAAAGAGGGGGGCAAAGCCGGTGACGGAGGGTGGATCAAAGTAGAGCGACACAAAAAGCCACCCCGCCAGGACAATAAACCAGCCAGAGGTCGAGGGAGGAGAGAAGGCAGGGGAGGACGTGGCGCTGGAGGAAGATCATAATGTGGCCCAACTACTTCTATCAGAACATGAATTACATGAAGCGCATGCCGGAAGAGAACCATACTGAGGCATGAGACGTCTCCGTCAAGCTTCAACTACTTTTACATGTCCTTTCTCGGGATAAAATGAATGAGTCCGTATGCTCAGAATGTATTTATTGCACAAAACAGATCATTTTGTCTTTAATTCATTTGATTTTACGGGCTGGTTGTATCCACTAATAGACTAGTTTTAAGATGGTTATTTATAATTGTTGTTGTATGCAAATTGCAGCTCAATACCAAAATAAAATACAATGAAGTTTTAGAGGTTTGTCTGTGAACTGTTGCTGTGTTTTTTTTTTGTTTTGTTTTTTTACATCATTTTCTGTCCAGTTCTTATAGCTATGAACATATGTATTCATATGTAGCTATGAACACATTGTGCAGTCACTGCCTTAAGAGTAAGAGAAGTAAATAAGTAAAGCACAAAAATAGAAGTTGTCTGGCCAAGAAGGCCTATCCATTCAGTCAAAACGGGATCTACGATTTATTTATTTTTGAAACACACAAAAATCCAGCAAACATAACCTGGTAGCTGAGAGACACTTCATCGTTTACCTGATTAACTTGTAATGAATTCCAAGTTTTTATTTAATTGGACATTGAAAATAAAGCATTTTATTTCAAACATGTGAGCTTTCATTATCTTACAACCCATCTTTCTCTTAAAACTGATGAATAAACACAACCCACTGGGTTATTTTGCTAACCCAGCCCTGCAGTTATTTAACACAATAGGGTTGAGTTTGGTGTTTGAATCAACATATGGGGTTAGCTTTTCAACCTCAAAAATAGATAACAGTGACAAATGTCTAACACTGGCCTCCAGAAAGTGTCTTAAAAAACACAATCCATAATCTGAATTACTTAATGGCTAATATTTCACTTAAAATGAATAATCTATCCGTTGTCCATGCCTGTTTAATCCTTCCATGGGTCTGCATCAGCTGATGGCCAAGAGCCAGGGCACACTTTGACTAAGTCCTCAATCTATCTCAGGCCTCTATAACCATCCACTCAACGTAGGGGGCAATTTAGCAAGGGCAAATAACTCCATACATGGTGGGAGGAAACCAGGGTGACTGCTTATTACCCTGTGATAAGCAGGTGGTGCTAACAACTGCACCACCATGCAGCCTAGAGTGGATAATGAAGGAAAGGCAACCGTATGATATCTTAATATTACACTGCAGAAATACCGCTTGCATCAGTTGACTTCATAAATGGCTCTTTGGTCAAAGTGTGAATGCTGAACATTAAAAATATTACATAGCAACATCAAACTTGTTGTTCTATCTTGTGGAAACACAGACAAGTTATTATGATATTTAAACATTAAAACAAACCCAGCCTGCAGATGGTATGCTACATCTTAAAAGAAATATTTTTTGGGGGGGGGGGGGGGGGTGGGGGGGGGGGTTCAGTCTTTGCTTTTATTTACCTTGTCAATTTGGAGATTGTCTTCTTACCACTTTTGCAATGTTGTTTTCAGATAGCTTGGTTTCATCTAAAAAGTTTAAAACCACAATGTTGGCAAATCTGAGCAAGCGTCCACATTGCCAATATGGAAATTTGCCTTATTGGAAGACGTCCATTGGATTCTAATTAGAATAGATCAAAATATGCTGCAGCAGCCTTTATTTTTGCTAATTATTATGATTTTCCACCTACAGCTGACTAAATCACAACATTGAAGGTTAGCATATCACACCAAACCAATAGAAAAAACTATTAATTTAGAAATGTGGAATAAACGAAAGGTTTAACACTTGCTTAAACATGTTAATTTTCAAGAGGTGACAAACAAGCATAATTTGAAAATATAAAGGTATATGTAGTCATCCAAAAGGGAAAAAGAACCACTGTAATTCGGAACAGAGTGTAAAGCAAAGTGTTCAGACAATAATATTCTGTGTGCATTGATATTAGATGAGATTTCAGATTTTTTTTTAACCATTTATGACAATTTTCCATAATACTTAACTACAATGTAGTCTAAGCTGTAAAATATTTTCTCAACAATACCTGAAATCATGCACTGCTACACCGCTTATAGAAAAGCAAGTTACACCCTCACTAGTGGCTAGGTCATGTTTCTTCCCAGTTGATTTCAGAAAACATATAATACACATTTATCTCCTCTACATTTTAATTTTGTAATGTAGGTCTTTAAGTGATTTATACCACAGATTTCGCAACAGGAAGTCTTCTATTTCTGTCTGTTTCTTGGATTTCTTTTTTTATCAGGCACTTCCTTTATTTCTATAGGAAACCTTATCTCACATCAAATGTAAAAAAATTGTAAAGAAAGAAAATCTCATAACCCTGGGGATTCTTTTTCTCCATATCGACCTGAAACTTGATAACATCTTGGATCGTTTACAATATTTTACGCGCCTTGTATGCAAATTAAGCAATGAAATGTTCGCGCCACTGCCAAGAACATGGAAGATGCATAACAAACCTCGCATTAATGTTTTAATCAGAAATGTATCAAAATTCAAATACACGCTGGACTCAAGTAAAGAATAAAAAATGAAGTCTAAACTATGACGAACGTTACAGTTTAACCAATCTGTTTATTAATGGAGTTAAACGCCCGCGGAATGTTTACATGTAGCTTCCAGGACCTTCCGGTGGCGCGGGAAATGAACGGAGGCTGACTGCAAGCAGCTGCAGGTCCTGCATTGTTCGCTGCAGAGCTGCTGCACGGTGAGCTTTCTTATCGCACAGTTAAACCGCTTCGAAAAGAAAGAAAAATGCCTCTGACGCGCTCCAAGGTAAGATTGCGTTTTCATTTTTAATCATCTTTATTACTTTCATATACTTGCAAAAATAAAAAAAAAAAAACATCGGTCATAAGCGGAATTAGATTTGACATTAACTTTCCGCCATCTTTAGACTAACTTTTTTTTAAGTATTAAAACAATTTCTACGTTAACATTTTCCATTATTTATGACTAAGAATGTGGTTTTAAATGTATATTTAATTTTGGTGATCATCATCTGGTTTAGTTTGAACTCTGTGCTCAGGGGTGTGTCCTACCAGCTTCAAATGACCCATTTTATATTCTGCTATATTTTCTCACGATCTTATTAGTTACGCACTGCATCGTTGCATTTACAACATGATCCAAAGATGGTTTTAATGCACCTGATTTATAATTTTGAAGATATTTAATTACGCTATAAGTGCCGAACAATACTTGCATGTTAAGTTTTTGTTTTACAGTCTCTCAGCCATACTGAGGAGTTGCTAAGTTAAATACAGAAGCTCATCTGACTGCATGGTTGTTTCATGTTGTTTCTTAAAGAAGCTGGCTGCCCAGTCTCCACCAACCAGGATGAGCCTGAGGAGCTTCCGTAGTGTCCCCCTGGTCCCCATGGAGACCTCGTCTTCTTCTGACGACAGCTGCGACAGCTTCGGTTCTGATGGAGGTTTTGCGAATACGGTAAATGCAATCTTTAACATCTGGCTGCGAACTTACCAAGTGGTTGCGATCGTTGCAGCTGATGCTTGTCTCTGACTTTAGAGGAGGAGCTTGAAACAGACGAGAACCACACAAAAACCAAAGGTGTCCGAGGCAACGTCAGAGGAGGACACATGCAGCGGGTTTGAGGAGAACGTGATCAGCAAGCAGATTAAAGCAATGGTAAGTAATGCTGAAATGTTAAAACTGTTCAATAAAACTCTTCGGTTTCTGTTGGCTATAAATTTTTTTTTTCTTTTAGAAAGTCGGCAGTGAGGCCCCAAAACTTGGCCGCAGGTCAAATGTCCTGAAAGTCGCCATGGCGTTCCCCACCAAGAAGACGGGCAAGAAGAGACCTGCATCTGAACCGCTGCCACAGCCTAAAGTGCAGGACTCCGACTCCGAGGAAGAGGAGAACTTCATGGCTAAAAGGGCTCTGAATATTAAGGAGAACAAAGAAATGGTATGATCTGTGTCTTCTAGGTCACAGTAATTATTGAAGCCAGAGATGCACTGATCAGAATTTCTACCAGTTTTTATAAAGCCCTGACATGCAAAAATATCTTAATTATGCTTTATATATTTATTAATTATTTTCAGCTTGCAAAGCTCTTAGCAGAATTGAACAAAGTGCCTGGACTCCTTCCAGGGAAACGGATGGCAAAGTCAGCTTTGACCACGGTAATATGACTTATAATGCATTTGCTGAGTTACAAATCTACTTCTCGGCATGGACTAATATTTTCTACTTTCAGCTGAGACAGGCGCCTGAGAGGTCACCTAGAAAACCGTGGGGTGTACGGCGAGCCCCCGAGCGGCTGCTCCCTCCCCGTACGCGGTCCCGCTCGCAAGTGGACGCCCCTCCCAGCCCGCCTCCTGAGGAAGACACCGAGGATAAGTTCAGCCTGGTTCGCAAAAACCCCGACTACGAGGAAGATGACGAACCTGTAAGTCTAATCATGAACACCACTGAATCACCCCGTCTCCTGTGCTTTCGTAGTCTCGTAATGACAATGTTTTTCTGCGCAGCCACGTCGCTTTTGCTGCAACAGGCAGCGGACCATTCCTCATGTGGTGCGGCCTGTGGAGGAAATTACCGAGTTGGAGCTGCAGAGAATCTGCAACAACGTCCGAGAGAAAGTCTACAACAGCTCCACTGTGAGTCCCGCATCATTGAACCTCTGATTAAAGTCAGCGCTGGTGCAGCCGTGTGACTGAAATATTGTCAATTTATTCTGTTTTCAGGGCTCCACCTGCCACCAGTGTCGCCAGAAGACGACCGATACCAAAACCAACTGCCGTAATCCCGAGTGTTTTGGGGTGAGAGGTCAATTCTGCGGCCCGTGCCTCCGTAACCGATATGGAGAGGAGGTTCGAGATGCTCTGCTGAATCCAGTAAGTACCACGTCATTTAGCGCCGTGATCACCGTTCGTAATAAATGTGTTGATTAATAAATCGTGTGCTTGTTAGGAGTGGTGGTGCCCGCCGTGCAGAGGGATCTGTAACTGCAGCTTCTGTCGGGCCAGAGAAGGCCGCTGTGCCACTGGAGTGTTGGTCTACCTTGCTAAGTACCATGGCTTTGATAATGTGCACGCTTACCTGAAAAGGTGAGGACGCCTTTAAGAGATGCCCCAATAAAGGGTTAATTGTCAATTTTCCATTCGTTTGGGGTTATTTAAGCTTTGATAACTGGAGAACCATTGTTGTGAAACAACTTTTTACTTTCTTAAAACACAAAAGGATTAGAGATGTCCCATTTTAAAGATTTTGCCTCTTTAAAATCTAATATCAATCCTTTATGTGCATTTATATTTACTGTCAATGCAGCTAATCTAATCTGGACCAATTTCCAGTCAATGAGACAGAGGAATTTTGAATACTTTTACTGTCACTTTCATTGTAATTTTCAAGTCCATGTCACTACTAAAAACATCCAGAGTCTGACAGACAGGGGTTGGAAGTTCAAATGTATAAAAGCAATCAATTTTACTGTAAATTCATTCATCCTTCCTGTTATTTGTTGAAAATCTTGCTCTCTCTTGCTTTTTTGTAGCCTGAATGAACAGCGGACATATAGACATCAGTTTTCTTCTAAATAGTTCTGGCAATCTCTGACATAATTTCTAAAAATCTCCCAAAATTGTTAGCTTTGACTTTTCTTTCTCAGTGACGGCTTCTAAATCAAAGGGAGTTGCCAAGGCAACCCGGTAGCACCAACATTAGGCATATTACACTTACTTTGAAAGATTGACTGACTAGCCATTTGAACTAAAAATCCTCGAGCCTGACGTTAAGGTCTCTAGTATTTATTAATTTTTTTTTATGTATATTAAAAGCTTGAGTTCATGTATTGTTTGTATCTTCTGCAGCTTGAAAAAGGAGCTGGAGGAAGAAAGCAGCAAGTGAAAAGTGGACGAGAATCTGCTGCAGATACCCCTGAAGACTGACGCTCTTCCTGATCAGTTTATATTGCTCAGTGTTTGAAGCATTGAAACTCTCAGCGCTAATTATTTCTGTTCAGGTTTTAGATCTAAAGTTGTTCTCAGACTTATAAAATTAAAGATTTTAAACCTTTGACTAAGACTGTAAAATATAACTGAGCAAAAAAAAAAAATTGCCCAGTACACCATCTGCAGTCTTACCTGTGATCAAATGAAATAGTCCTGTGATGTTAGCATTGCCTTTGGACTGATCCACTTGTACTGTACATTGTTTTAAATGTATTTCTCTTTAAATGCTGTTAAATCAAATTAGCCCTTTCCTTTGCTTCACATTAATGCTTGTGTTTTTACAAGTTGCGCTTATAGTTGCTTGCTGAAATCAAAGAAAGCCTTCCTGCCTGTTGTGTTCTAGAAATGGCCCAGTGATCCTCCTGCTGTAGGTTGAAAAAAGGGCATATAGAGCGAGGTCCACTGCCTTCCTCCTCTAAACCGTGAGGAGCTGTGATAAACTGCAGCGCCTGGTTAAATATCCTTCATTAGATAACTGTCACTAATGGTGTGGAAACAATTAGCACACTCTAATGGGAATCTCATACCTGTAAATCACTTTCCCCTGTTAAAGCACGTTCTCGCTCTGCACCAGCCTACGTGGCTCATTTTCTGCCGTTCAATTGTTGAGCAGAAATGGCCGAAGGTGCCACTGAAGTGGCAGCAGAGTTATAGCCTGCGTTTTCTGCTCACAGCTCTGATCCTCTAAATGAAATGACATAAAATTAACCTTTGGTGCTGTTCATTGTTGAAATGTACTTGGTTTGACCTGTGGTTGAGGATACTTCATCGTGCGACGCTGTTGCAAAAAATGTGATCGGTTAGATATCATTTTTTAAATCTTTTGCTGTAATTGCAGGGGGAGGTTGTTGTACTGCTGGTTCTATGTGCTAAACACAAAGGAAATGTGATTGGGGTTCATTGTGTTTTATGTACATGTTCAATAAAGCGTTAATCGGTGCAGAATCATGTCAGTGGTCTTCTCTGTAACAGTGGCAGCTGTAATTACTGTTATTGAAAGACGGAGAAAATCCAGTGACTAAAGACATGAAACCATGAGGCTTATTCCTAATGTTACTAAGGGACAGCTGGTGAGACCTTCGTTCCTTCACAGTAAATTTTAGCAGAGCCAATGTCCTACAAACACTCGAGCAGTGAGGTAGGCTGTCACATGCACAAGCCTAAGTGGGTCAGATAATCACCGTTTACATCAGCTCAGTGCTGCATTAAGAGTGCAATTGAAATCTGTATTGGGTGTGTTTAAAAACAAACGAAAAGCCACATTTTTGCACTTTCATAAAAATGATAAGGGAAAAAATGTTCACCTCCCACTCAGTTATTTTATTTATATTAAAAATGATCTGGTCTGTATTAGGTACTAGAATTATTTTTTTGTAAGACCTTAAGCATGCAAAGGGGCAGAAAAAAGACCCAAAACTTCAATTGAGAGAGCCACAGGCTACAAGTTGTGACAGTGAAAAACTGAGTATGCATAAAGATAGCAGCCAGATGTGTGAGAACAATGGCGGAAACTAGGGCTGTAATGATTCCTCGAATGATTCAAATACCTCGATTATTAAAATTCCTCGAGGAAAATGTATGCGCATCGAAGCTTCGTTAAATTATGTTTTATTATTTAGCGCACCGTCTTCCGCCCGGGTCTTTATTTGCGGTGGCCAGCGCTGTCACTTCCGCTTATGAGTTGTTGCTACGTGCTAGCAGCATGGCGTTGAATTTCTGCGTCACAACTGCGTGGATAACGTTTCAGGGAGAGAGAGAGAGAAATATTCTTTTAAAACAGCCCTAATGGAAACACATCAGCAATGACTTTGGAGTTGCAACTAGTGTTCTCCATCAATCTGTGTAGGGTAGTAAGGCCATTTTCAAACAGTTTGAAGTCTGTCACTTTACAGTGAGAAAAATTTTTCGTAAGAGGACACAAAGAGCCATTGAGGTCGGGAGAGGATTCAAGGTACAGAGTCACAGCTGTTTTCCTTAAATAGCAGAATCACTGAAGTGGATCAGACCACCATCTGTCTGTGAGGGGTGGGAGGAAGGACGGCTTATTATTTGTTCAGTTTATCTTCTACTTTGACCTGATAATCCTGACCCAATGAATTCATTTTTCTTTTGTTTCTTTTTTACTAATTAGTGCTATTCTGACCTGTGTTTGTATTTTTTTTTGTTGGTTAGTTTTCAGTTGGTATGTCTCCTGTTGTGTCAACAACGGTCTGATCAGCCTGTATTTAAGCTTCCCTGTTAGATCAGTTTGGCTAGAGTTTACTATGTTACTAATGTTGTTGTGCTGACCTATGTTGTGGACCCAACTTTTAATTTTTGAAAAATATTTTAGTTGATTTTTGTACATAGATTAAGAATATATTTTTGGAATGTTGTCTTGTTTTTCTGATTAGTTTGTGCAGTCCCTTACATGTTCCACTGGCCCAGTCAAAGTCCAGTTCTCAACATGATTGAATTGCTGTGGTCAGATCTTAGGAAAGTTGTGCAAAGGAGAAATGCCCTCAAATCTCAATGAACTGATTCAGTCCTGTACAGAGGAATGGGGTACAATTCCTCCATAACAATGTAACAGACTCATATTGGTGTATATCTTGAAAATTTGTATCATTGCAGTTTATCAAGAAATCTTATTTCACACAAAAATCAGATGTGATGCTTGAGGACAAGTATCAAACTGGAAACATGTCAGAAGATGAATATTTGTGTGATCCAAAATTGACCCATTTATATTGCAGATTTAGCAGCACTGCAGTAAAATGAGGGATTCACGTTTCATTACACAGATATCTCACAGCTACCTGTAACATTTCTATGAAGATTCAGCTTTTTGGAAAAACAGTAGTACAGCATTTCACCGGTTTTATAAGAAGCTTTTCATGTTCATTCTTCTTGGGTGGTCACAGTGATTGAACTTTGCGGGCGCTCCAGCTTCCTGTCAGTGTTTAAGGAAATTGGTGTTAGGTTAACCAGTAACTCTAATTTCCTCAGGTGTGTCTGTTGGTTCTGTGATGGATCAGCCACCTCTGGTCCAAAGTCCAGCTCTAATTCTGCCTCTGTGACCCTGAAAAGGACTTAGTAGGTACAGAAAATGGATGGTTACAACAGCCTATAAAAATGGAGAAGAACAGTATTGTACTTTTACTAACATTTAAATAACTAAATCCTTAGTTGTTCTGTGAATATCCATCCGTTTAAAGTCACTGATGACAGAATATGGATTATTGTAATGTTTTCTGCTCATGGTTTTCTTGAGCGTTGACTTTCAGACTTAGTGTTGTGTTTACAGCTCACATTATGGCCCATCTGTTCATCATCATTATTATTATTATTATTATTATTATTACAGCCCTCAGGTTTTCCTGCTCAACAGATGCTGCCATTTGTTTAGCAGAAATGAAGACTTTAGCAGAACTAAAGCTGCCTGATGTCAGTCGTGCAGAACACTGAGAATAGATGTGATAGACCTTCAGCAGAGCTGCACAATACATATTATTGTTACCAAGTTCACATATGCAGACGCCACTCCAAATGCAAGCTTAGATCTATTGACCCAGTGTGTTTATCTGCATACAGCGATCCATTCTTTGTTACCTTTTCACACAATGTGTACCACTTTGTGATAGTTTCCTAGTTGCCTTTTCTCAAGTATTCATTGTTACACATGATCATTTTGTTTCTCATTTTCTTTATGAATCTCTTGTAGTCACTCTAGATTTTATTATTATTTATTTTTTTTTGCATATTATAAGTGTTTTCTTAGTCTTTTGTCTGTGATTCTTTTAAGTTACTTTAGCTTGGCCATTTATTGTGCAGCATGTGCTGTAAAGAGAGCATCTGTTTTTATGCAACTTTAAAATAATTAAGTAAATGACAAAAATAATAAGTAAATAGATAAATAAATTGGATTAGATTCAGCTATTTGTAAATAGAGTGGAAAACATGCAGATGAACATAGAAGGTTCCCTAATACTAATTCATATTGTGCCAATATGAATTTTTAAACAGTGATTTATTAGGGGGGATTGTCTAGCAGGTGTAGTTCTGTGTTTATCTTATGCTAAGAATGTATTTGACTAAAATTCGAAGATCTTCCAAGCAAGAAGAATAGCAAATTCAAATTTTTCATTAGCTGTCAGAAAAAGTGCAAATATTCCCTTTTGGTTTTGAATGTTTGTAAAATCACAATCACTTCATAAATGTAGAGTTTTCTGTCATTTTGAATTAAATATTAACATGATTTAGTAATTATCAATCAGTTGAATCTTAAATATGCATATTTTTAGACACTATATATGACAATGTCACCTCTTTTTCTTATGCATTTCCTTCCAAAAGGGGCATTTCGAAAACTATTATTAGTATAATAAAGATGCACTTGAGAATACTGGTCCTGTATTAAATATCAATGATCATCCACTTTGGGGTGATGAATATTTAGGGAAGTAATTGTTTACAACGCTCGAGCATTGAGCTGATCTGGTAATCAGGCTATGAAATACAATATTTATTCATTAGAGCAGATTTAATGAGGCCTTGCGGCGCTAATTATGAAAACCAGTGTAGCAGTAAATGAGTAGCGCACGGTGGTGGGCTGCGGGGTACCTGTGAGGAGGGTCTGGGGGTTGAAGTGCCCTGAGTAGCACGGCGCGGCGAGCAGCGATACGGAGATGCTGGCTGAGGCTGTCCAGTTCACAGATGTTCACAACCAGACCCGCAGATGGGACCTCGCGTTCCAGCTTGACCCAACACCTGGACGTGTCACGTCTAAATACGTCGCCATATTGCACCTAAAGACACATATTCCCTCTACAGAGGCTTTTAAAACATTGTTTTGCTGGTATTCTGCAGGCCATGGAGCTAAAACAGGGTGCAGATTTATTTGCATGCAGGTCTGGAGATATGTGGTAGGATTTCACAGCATAATATGGGTTTTGATTGATTGATATTTTCATTATGGCTGCAGGGTAGCGTGAACACTGTTAATTTGCCTGAGAGTCCTGCAGGTCTACGGTGATTGTAGCGGAGCCAGAAGAAAAGCTGAATAAATGAAACTCACAGGGCACAATCACAATCTGTGGGTCAAAATCAACTGATTAATTATAATTTAGAATCAATCTGTCAGGCCTCTGTAATAAACACTCGTTCAGGCTTGCTGCTTAATAACCAGCTTTACATGGTACAATAATGTGGACTGTATTAAAGCTACTCTATTATCCCGAACACACAATACTGCCTGGACAAATACAATAGACACAAACATTTCGGAGAGGGGAAAAGACCGACTGTTTCTATTTTTGATGCGGCTCATCATGAAGACTTTCCACATAAAGTCTCCCCCACTGGCTCTGACCTCTACTTCCTGTGAAGTACAGTGAGAAAAGTGCTGCTAAATGCATAGTGAGTGACTCTGGGTGGCAGGAGGCTTATGACATGTTCCTTTCCTGGCTGGAACAGCCAGGAAAGTGATGGAAACAGCAGTTTGGTCCAGGTGTCAGGGACATTATCAAAGAAAAGGGCTGCCTGTAGTTGCTCCATCTCGCAGGAAATTGCCAACTCACCCTAACAAAGAAAGGCATAAGTGCACTTGCTGCTGCCTTCAAGGGGAGCGTGATAAGATGACATTATAAATACAGAATTGTTCGCAAGAGGTGGAGGGCTCGGCACATCAGGCAGCTGAACTTGGCAATTTAGTTCCTCGGGTGCACGTCCAAAAGACTCTGTGGGTTTGTCTGGAACAACATCAGCTGCTTATCCTGCAGGGGAGTCGCACGTTTGGAGATATGTTAAACTTTAATTGCAGATATTATAACCATAACCTACTTGGGAATACTGCTGATCGCAATATTTCAGATGAATCCCAGGATGGCAGGAAATCTGGAAGAACAAACAGAGAAAATGCATTTAGAATACATAATGAATAAATTCAAAATATGCAATAATAATAATAA